GATTGATTGATTGATTGATTGATTGATTGATTGATTGATTGATTGATTGATTGATTGATTGATTGATTGATTGATTGATTGATTGATTGCATATGAGCCATTCTGAACTAATTTATTGGGATTTTAATTCAACTTTGTTGCTTCTATTTTGTTACATCTTAAACGAAACATTTTTCCTTTTACATTTATTTCAGATATTTACTGCTTTAAGTAGTAAACAAGGTTTATATAAGGCATAAAGAGCTCAAATATGAGATTTAGTAAAAAATAAAATAAAATAAAAAGAGACACAATCAACCACTTTGTAATAATACACCTGAAAAGATAGTTTGGATAAACTGTAGATTATCTGATAATAATTGTTATTTATCATAAAAATAAAGTGTGATGAAGTCACATATCTGAAAATGTAACACTTAGATGGATTCAAAACATTTCAAAACATCCAGCCCAAATAATGAAAGCAACATTTTATACTGACAACAAATTGTTTAAATAATTACCAATCTAACTATTTTGGCAAATAAAACCTAAATGCTGAAATGTGTGTTTTAGCACACAATTTGTATTGTAATAAAATGTTAAACTAAGAAAAACTTTTTTTCCCCACAAGGAATTTGACTACCATTTTGTTAGACTAAAACTTGATGAACAAAAAACTCTGGTAAATTTAAACCATCATCTGCTATTTAAATAAGTCAAAATGAAAGAAACATTAAATAGAGAACATTTCAGTGATAATCTACTTTGTTGAATGAATATTATTATACTTGGATTGTGGTATTAGATGCAGTATTTATTTTATTAGTGAACTTCACTACCTGTTCTGTTTTAAAACTTCCATAAAATATATAAAGTAAGAATTTATACAGTTATGATTGTACAACACCTTGTGAATACATTTCTGTGAAAGGCGCTTTATACCTACCTACCTACCTACCTACCTACCCACCCACCCACCTACCTACCTACCTACCTACCTACCTACCTACCTACCTACCTACCTACCTCTTATTATAATTTTGTCAACAATGTTTTACATCTTACTAAGCTTAAAACCAGTGGTGGGCACAGTTCCCCTAAAGCACTAAAGCACTAATAGGAGAATTAATTTCCTGATTAGTGCTTTAGGACTTTTGCTAAATTTAAAAATTCTTAGTGGATTAGCACTTGCTAAATTTATAGGCTAAATTTAGAAGCACTAACTGAGGTCTATAAATGTATTGATCAACATTAATGTTAACAGCTGATGGTGAAAACTGTTGCACATTTTGTTCATATGTGTCACTGATCCACCAGGTGACAATATATGAACGTCAGAGAGCAACATGGCAATATGTGACTCGTTGTCTGTTGAAGAATGTTCATGGGTTGACTGGGTTGTTTTAGTGCTTTATAATTAGGGGACCTAAATATCTGAATTAGTTTTTTTAGGGCTAGTGGAACTAATTTTTAGATTAGTGCTGCCCACCACTGCTTAAAAAGTAGAAAAATGTTTGAACCTTGGAGAAATGTTTAGTTTCGGTCCACAGGTTAAACTAAGCGCAGGGTTTAAATCAGTCAAAGCTGAGAGGGACTTTTTTCTTTACAAACACATTAAAAAACCCTAATAAGTGCTTTTAACCAAAACAGAATAACTTACCGATCCCAATGATAACAAAGGCTGCAACTCCGTTCAGAATGCCCAGGTACCTCACCCCAAAGACCACGTGGTATAAAAAAAGAGCCATCAAACAGCTCAGGCCGATGCCGGCAAGACCAAAGAAAGTCAAAAAGACTTTTAAAAAGACAAGAAAGCAAAGAGTCATTAACATTCATATGAATCCAAACCCACTCTGTAAGTTCAAACACAAGATCTACACACAAACAAAACAAAACAAAACCAGGTCATACTGCACCAGAGAACGAGGTGAGGATGTAGACGAGCACGGTGATGCAGGCTCCACTGATGACGGCCAGCATCATGTCGTTGTAAAAGGTGTGTCTGACTTCATTATCAAACAGCTCCGTCCCTCCGTACAGCACCTTCACCTGGCTGCACAGACACAAGCCCATTAGAGCATTTCAGATAATGGACTAAAGAAGACACCACTCAGGAGAACAAAACCCCTGACTCATCCAGGTCTGACCTGGTGGACTGCTTGGCCAGCATGTCTGCATACTGAACCACGAAGTTCTTAAAGCGAGTCCTCTGCTCATCTGCTCGGTCCTGCAGGGAGTAGTAGGATGGCAGAGGAGCGCCGAAGTGGATCTCGCTGCGTAGGAGAGAGGAGGACAGACGCTCGGGAGACAGACTTTCATCCACGTACCAGTAGAACTGTGGGTGGGTGATGGCCAGACTTAAGGACCCTGCAACAGAACACAAACTGGGTGACTCAGCCGTTTGGTTGGAGGGGACTCACCGAGGGTTCGACTAAAACTTGGGTGGACAGACCTTGGATATCAGCCAAGTCTGGCCCCATGCCGTCGTAGTAGATCTTTCCCCCTTTTTCACTGGGGTAGAGGTACGACAGAAGGGAGCTGGGTGGGGAGCAGTAGGTTGGCCCTAATGGCAGGTCCCGTAATACTTCCATGGGCTTCCAGCAGAACTGATGAAACTGAGGGTGCTGCATGAGCAGACGCTCCACGCCGTGAATCGTCTCCAGGCGCTCCGGAGAGAAGATGTTGCGATCCCCTGGCCCCCGAGCCACGAACACCAGCTCGATCCTCCACAGAGCCTGGCTCTGCGTGTAGTAATTGGAGGCAAACCTGCGCCTCCTGATCTGATAGGAGGAGGAATTTATAGATAATTTCTCCTCTACTGATCTGGTGTCTGAGCTTTGACTCAGATCAGACTCTGTCCTCGCATCTCTATCTGCAGCTTCTCTCTTCTCCCCATCGTCTGCTTCTAAAGTGCTGTTCAAATGAGGGGAGATGCCCTTTGTACCCAGCTTCTCCAGCAGAAGCTCTTCCAGCGCCTCGGAGTCCGTGCCATCTGTGTCACGCCGCCGCCTGTCCCAGGACCCCATCTGGGTCTTAACAGCAATGGTGAGGGCATCAAAGCGCTCTGCAGAGAAGTGGCTGTGAACCTCAAAGGCACTGTAGGAGAGGTCTATGTCCAGAGGAGGGCAGTAGAGCAGCATGTAGGCAAACAGGGCACATGGCAGCAGGAAGGCCACCCCTAAAACCACTCCGCTGGCCCAGGGCTGTGTGTAAAGCCACCCCACTGGCCTCCACACCCCACAGACCCCCACATCCCCAGATAGACAACTCTGTCCCGCAGCATGTGTCACTCCATCCTCCTCGTCTTCTTCTTCCTCCTCATCCTCCTCCTCACCACCCCAGCTGGTCTGAAACGGCAGCGCCTCGTCCTCCACATCCATGCTGGCACCTGAAATCGACACATTACACCACTTGACTATTAGTCACTCACACAGCTCTGCCTCTCCTCTCCTCGGGTTAGCGGACACGAGCACGAAATAGATGTTTGAGCTGCCGGCAGTTGACACAAGCATTAAACACAATGAAGGACAGGGTAACCTCCCAAAAAAAAGTTGTACTGAGCAAGCAAGGGCGCGAGAGAATTAAATCTGTCCTCAAACAGCTGTTGACCCATTGGCAGACTCGTATGAAGAAAGACACAGGGAGGGGGGCCTTCAAGGACTTACTAACCAGAAAAAAAAAGGTGGCAGGCTCCTGCTTTAAGATGCTGCTCACATGAGCTCGGCATAAGACAGGCTAAAAAGCTGTGATTTTATTCCCCCTCTCTCTGTCAGTTATTATCGCCTGGAGAGGGTCCACTGGTGGGTGTTTACACGCCAAGAGTCAAGGTGCAGGCAAAGCCGCTTTGCACCAAATTAAATCATCTCACTCGTCTAATTACTGACAGAAAGAGAGAGAGGGTTATTGAACAGGGCTGCGGGAGAACAGCAGGTTTATCTCCTGTGATGGGCAGCCTCTGACTAATGGTGTCAATAGGTGCCACTTGTTTGTGCTCGTCTGCGCACGAGATCCTGCAGCCGGTTTGCATTCTGGTGGCGGCGTGCTCGCTAACTGTGGGCAATTTATCTAGTCTCTTTAGAGCTGAGCTTTAAGGTCAGCCAGGTAAGGAACAGAATTGTGATTATGTGTGAAACAAAGCTGAGAGCAGCTCTGCGGCTGGAGTGAAAACCCATCACAAAGAGGAGAAAATTTGAATTTATAGTGTTTGTTTTAATTTTGCTTTCCACGAACTCACCTCTGTTTCTTGTTATAAACCGCCACAGAAGGTGATCATCTTTGTGTGTTCATTTGTCTGTTATCAAAAAATCTCAAGAACCACTGACTTTGATTAAATTTAACTCTCCTGTTATGTTGCGGGTCAAATTGACCCATTTTAATGTTTAAAAAAATTAAAATAGTTTAAAGTATTTTTCTTCATGAAACATTTTATATTTATCTTAATAGGTATACTTTACATATTAAATGAAAATGGTTCATTTTACATTTTTGCAGCCGCTCCGCATCTACATATTATAGTGTTCGGGTTAATTTGACCCGGGAGTCAAAATGAAGGGTAAAAAGAGTCAAAAGTGTCCAATACTATTTGTTTCATTGCAACTATGAGACATATTTCACCTCAAACACACACACACACACACACACACACACACACACACTGGCAGATATTGGGACAATGTG